TTCTGATGCAAAGGGTCCCCAATCACATTTAGAGGAACCCCTATGGGGACACTTTAAAATGTGACATCATTCTTAGTCATGTGGTTGATGCTATAACATCTTTCCTGCATTCCCAGTGACAGCATGGGTGCCAAGACCTAAGTGTTACATGCAGATTAAGCCTGACCACTACACTACAGATTTCTTTTTTCTATTCTTTACTTTTTTTTAATCTTTCCTGGCATACAATGTCAACTTACAATGGGCATGGAAAAGCCACGGGCAGAGAAGATTATTTTAAAAATAACAGGAACATAAAATGCTTGTTTTCAATGGTGAGAGAGATTTGAGGACAATGAGGGAACCAAGGTCAGAGGTATAGGCATCAAAGTCTTCCTCTGGGCAGTGATATCTCTAAAGGATCCTAAGTTCCTATTCAAAATAACAGGCAGAGTGGTCACACCTCAATTATAAGCATTAAACATGCCTTATGGCAAGTGTGAGTCTAAGCTGAGTGACCAAAGTTACCTTGATCACACTGTAGATCTTTTTAATATTTCACAATTGACATCAGAATTGCATCAAGGCTGAAAAGGAAGCTGAAATCAGCAAACAATCCTTTAGAAACTTAAACAAGGGGAGAAGATGTCTGTAGACTTGCAAATTCTAAGCAGCCTGGATCTCACTCCAGTTTAAGACTCTGATGGTTGATTAGATGTGGCAGCTTGACTGAATCACAAGGTGCCCAGATACAGTACTTTGCTAAACACTACTTCTGGGTGTGTCGGTGAGTGTTTCCAGATGATGTTAACGTTTCAATCAGTAGCCAATGTGGGTGGTCTTCATCCAATCCACTGAAGGCCTGAATAGAACAAAAAGTTGGAAGAAGGGATAATTTGCTCTCTGCCTGAATACCTGAGCAGGAACATTGGTCTTTTGCCCTCAGAATGAAACTTAAAACATGTGCTCTCTGGTTCTCACACCCTCACATCTGGCTGAATTCTATCACTGGCATTCCTTGGTCTGTAGCTTTCAGATAACAGATCAGATAACAGATCCTCAGCCTCCATAGTCACATGAGTCAATTCCTTATAATAAAACTCTCGCTTTCTGTCTCATATGTATTCTAATATATTCTTCTTCTGTTTCTGTTTCTCTGGAGTACTTGGCTAATACACAGGGCCAAAATAAAGGGAGCCTTGGACACTAGCAAGAACTCCCAGAATGAAAGAACTTAAGAACTGGTCTGGTCAGAGATGTATAATGTTGGGGTATGGGGACAGAAAAATTACTATCAAGGAGAAATAATGCAGAATATAGAGCCCCTACTTTTATTTAAATATATATATATTCTATATACCCACACAACACACATATATTGTGGTCTCCACATATGCACATACGTACACACATGAATACCTACATCAAAGAAAGTCTGGTTGGTATATGATTCACAAGCATATTAATAGGATTATTTCTAAGTAATATGATTATAGATTATATTTAGTAGCTTCATCAATTATAAGCATTAAACATTAATACTTTTTAAGTATTATATAATTTTTTACAATTACATAACTAGTTATATAATCAGAAAAAAGTTATTGATTGTTTTAAATGGAGTAAAAATCAGTCACAAGCATTCTTATAGATCTAGCCATGAGAAAATGTCTACATTTAATAACTGCTACAGGGAATAAGGGCTAACATAATGTGGTTGAACTTATTTTCCAAGTCTCAAATCCTGTGGGTGGGATAGAAGTTTTGGATTTGTCTCAGGTATTTAACACAGGTTAGAAGGACAAGAACACTCAGAACATATTTTGAATTAATTGTCACTGAAAATATACCTAAATACACACCCAAAGGTAAAGAAATGTGAACAATAAAATAACAACAACCAACCAAAATCTCTTTATGTTCACATCTAGTTACAACAATAGCTCCCAATGATCTCTGCTCAATAATTTAGAAATATTCACAACAAAATTCTTTTTTTAAAAGATTTATTTGAATGTCAGTTACACAGAGAAAGGAGAGGGAGAGAGAGAGAGAGAAAGAGAGAGAGAGAGAGCTGTCTTCCATCCACTGGTTCATTCCCAAAGGTGGCAACAGCTGGAGCTAGGCCAATCTGAAGCCAGGAGCCAGGAGCTTCTTCTGGGTCTCCCACATGGTGCAGGGACCCAAGGACTTGGGCCATCTTCCACTGCTTTCCCAGGCCATAGCAGAGAGATGCATCGGAAGTGTAGCAGCTGAATCTTGAACCAGCACCCATATGGGATGCCAGCGCTTCAAGCCAGATGTGAACCCACTGCACCAAAGCACCAGCCTCAACACACCAAAAGTTCTGTAGGCTATGGTGAGCTCCCCATGACCTTCTATCTTCTTTAATAAGTTTGAGATTTGAAATAATATCTATCAAAATTTTAAAAAATATATTCTTTCACTTTTATGAATACATCTTACATATCATTATAAACTTAAGTAAAGTTTGGTATAAGATGTTTACTTCAGGGATGGGCATTGTGTCATAGCTAATTAAGCTGCCACTTGTGACATGCACAACCTATATCAGAGAGTGTTGATTAAAGCTCCAGATCCTCCACGTCTGATCCAGCTTCCTGCTAATGCATTTCAGGAGGCGTTGAATGATAGCCCATGTGCTTGAGCCCCTACCACCCACACAGGAGACCTGAATGGAGTTCCTGGTTCCTGGTTCCTGGCTTCAGCCTGGCCCAACCCTATCTTTTGTGAGCATTTGGAGAATGAACCAGTGGATGGAAGCTCTCTCTGTCATTCTGACTTGTGAGTAGATAAAAACAAACAAAAAATAAAACATTAAAAAATATGTTCACTGCAGAACTGTTTATAATAGTAAGGAAATAGAAACAACACACATGTATTCCATTAGGAGGTGGGTTATACAAACTGCAGTACACCCAGAATCAATCTCTTTCTCTGTTTCTTTCTATCTATCTGTCTATCTACCTATCTATCACACACACACACACACACACACACACACACGTCATTTATATAAAGCCCATAACTATCACAGAGGTTGTTCTTCCTCAAATAATCCCATCAACATTTCAGACTGTTTAAGATCCACAGGGAGAAGAAACTATCATAACATTTTCATCTATCGTTCACCTGTGTCTTTTCTTTAAATATGAAATCACTGGGAGTCATCTGGAAGCTAAAAGAAATGGTCATAAAGGAAGGAAAAAGGGACCCTCGCTCTGTTGGGTAACTTATTTTAACTCAGAAATGTAAAAGTCGGGGTGGGGGTTGTTGGTTGTGATGTATCTGGAGCTGGTAAAGCTGCTGCTTAGGATGTTGCCATCCCATATAGGTTCAAGTTTGTGTCCCGGCTGCTTTGCTTCTGATCCAGCACCCTACCAATGGCCTTGAAAAAGCAGCAGATGATTCAAGTGCTTGGGGCCCCTTAACCCACACAGGAGACCCAGTTGAAGCTCCTGGCTCCTGGCTTCAGCCTGGCCCAGCCCTGCCCATTGCAGCCATCTGGTAAGTGAATCAATGGATGGAAGACCTCTCTCTCTCTCTCTCTCCCCCCCTCTCCCTCTCTCTCTCTCTCTGTGTGTGTGTCTGTGTATCTGTGTCTATATGTCTGTCTCTCACTCTCTCTGCAACTCTGACTTTCAAATACATAAATTCTTTAAAAAGAAGAAATGTAGGAGGAAAAATATTGACAGATTAGTCCTCTATGATTGTTTTCATCATTATGAAATTTCTTCTTCATTTTGCTTATCAGATACTGTTCATGACATCATTATAGAACAAACTCTCTAGAGAGTGAAATTCAATTTTGTGAAACCAAATGACATGCACATACCTGCACAGAAATATTTAAAAACTCTTTATCTATGCACAAAATGAAATGAGTATGCAGTACGAATGCATAGAACACTGAGTAAAACCTGAAACTGGAATTCATCAAGGGTGGGGGCGGATAATGAGGCTACCAAACAGGGCAACTCAGAATTAATGATGACTTGACCTTTTCATTAGTGACTGGGCCAAGTCTGGAAAGGAGACATGAAGGAAAGCAGAGAGTAGATTAAGTAGAATGGTGCAATTTATTTTTCAAACAGGAACTTATTTTGAGTATTATACATACCCTATTTATAGCTAATATATTTGGTATATCTGGGTTCAAGCCAGAGCCATTCCATTCCTCCCTCTGTGCCAAAGGGCAGGCTTCCTTTGGGAATGTCCTCAAGAACAGGATTGATAATATTCCAGAGGATATAATAATAGATTGCTTTGATTCTAAAGTAAAATTATAGAATTCAGTCACTTTAAACTTACTGCATTATAGGAACTTGGGAATTCACCTTCTAAATATTTGGTAAGGCCATGTCTAACTACTGAATTTCACCATGCCTACATATTAACAAATTTCTCTTTCACTGTTGCTTAATAGGCCTTGCTCTGAAGCTTTGTCCTACCCCTGAATTTTTCAGGGTGGTGGATTTTTTTTTATTTGACAGGTAGAGTTATAGACAGTGAGAGAGAGAGACAGAGAGAAAGGTCTTCCTTCCATTGGTTCACCCCCCAAATGGCTGCTACAGCCAGCACTGCGCCGATCTGAAGCCAGGAGCCAGGTGCTTCTTCCTGGTCTCCCATGTGGGTGCGGGGGCCCAAGTACTGGGGCCATCCTCCACTGCTATCCCGGGCCACAGCAGAGAGCTAGACTGAAAGAGGAGCAACCAGGACTAGAACCCGGCGCCCATATGGGATGCTGGTGCCACATGCAGAGGATTAACCAAGTGAGCCACGGTGGCGCTGGCCCAGGGTGGTGGATTTAAAACTTCTAGACATTGGTAAGAATACCACAAGTAGAAGAGCTCCTTTGTAATGCAGATGTAATTGGACCCTCCCAATGCAACTTTATCCATTTATTTCCTTTGTGTCACCTCAACACATCAGTGGACTGACAAATGAAAAGATTTCATATAGAAACAAAAAAGACTTTTGTTCATCTTCTGAACACTCACCACAGAATAATAATTCTTGGTAAGTGGAGCAGGATCAAATCCTTTGACAGCCTTGGGAGAAAGAGGTCTCTCTGTGAAAAAGACATATAAATTATGTTAATATCATACAAGTCTACCATGAGCATTTTATAACACAGATCAACTGATACACTATTAAGAGTTCTAGTGCAACTATCAATGGGAATGTACATTCCTAAACAAGTGGAACCACGACTTTAAACTATAGATAGATGATCAACAATAGATTATCTCTTTCAGGCACCTCTATGTCTTTTCTCTTTTCTTTTGTTTAAAAATTTTAAAAATATTATTTACTGATTTTTAGTGTTACTGAGAGAGGGAGAGATACAGAGAGAGAGAGCGCCATCTTCCATCTGCTGGTTCACTCCCCAGATGGCCACAACAGCCAGTTCTGGGCCAAGTTGAAGCCAGGAGCCAGGACCTCCATCTCGGTCTCCCACGTGGGTGGCAGTAGCCAAAACACTTGAGCCATCTTCTGCTGCCTTTTGCAGGCCTTTAGCAGGGAGCTGGATGGGAAGTGAAGCAACTAAGACACAAACCAGCACCACTGTGGAATGTAGGCATTGCAGGTGGTGGCAGCTTTACCTGCTGCACCACAGCAACAGCCCCAAGCCCCTCAATTTCTGAGGGAGGAATGGGCCAAGGAGTGAAGGCCTTGCTAATTAATGGATGGGTCAAGGCAAAAACTTCATTCTCTGTTTGGGTTTACTTCTTTATCTGCCTTTCTATTCAACTTATTTAACAGAGAAGCAAAAGCAGCCCCAAGCAAACATATATATATATATATATATATATTTGTAATTTGCATATTACTATATAAGCTTAATATAAATAATAACAACCATACCTTTCTTTAGGCTGTCTACTGTGCCAACACCACAACAATCAGAATCTTTAACTCACTGAAAATAGTAGAAAGTTCTTTTCTCTTTTATGTATCATCTTAATATCATGTTGTGTTAACATTATAAAATGTTGCCTTTGTTTTATAAACTTAATCTTACCTATTAAACTCATGGTTAAAGGACAAACTAGGACATTCTTTCTTAAAAGAAGAAAAAACAATAAAAATATGAGACAGTCATGATAAATGTTTGTGTCACTACATAGCTTCCTTCCTACTGCATTTTCTCCTTTGCTTGATTTTGTTTTGTATCTCAATTGTATATTACTATATTGCATGCTGCTTTAAACTCTTTTTGAAGTATGGTAGAGTATAAATAACCAAATAATGACATATCATCAGACCTTATTTTTTTCTTTTTAAATAATATTTTGTTATAAATCTGAAACATTCCCATTCTAAAAAATCCAAAATATGGAACACAAAAATCAACAGTTTTCTCATGGCCCAGAACTAACCACCATTCAAGTAACATTTAGAAGTGCGTCTTCCCATTTTTTATGTATTTGTGAACACACACACACACAACACACCTTTCTTACTTTACCTATAGTTTCCTATAGCTTTGTGATCCTCCTATGACATTTTCATTAGTATTTCCCCTATTTAACCTTGATTTTTTATTATTATCATGTTAAACATCTTCCTAATGTTTATTTGGCAGTTAATAGTTTTTCAGTCATTTATTTGATCTTTACAACAACAACTCTGACAGTCAGAAAGGATCTTCTCATTGTACAGAGGAGGTCACTAGAGTTCATGGTGGTGAAGTCAGTTTCCAAGGTCATGTAGCAATGGCAGAGATTTAGCCCCAGTGTCTTAACAAGAGCCTTGCTGCTACAAATTATGAACCCCAGAGATGACACTACTGAAGGACTTGATGATGGCATGTGCAGGGTCTCCTGCTGAAATGCACAGGGGCCATCACTTTGAGCTAGGATGGTCACATAAGATCTTGCTTGGTAAGGGGATCTGGCCCTGCAGGGTGGTTAGATTCACACAGGCACAGAAGAAAGCAAAAAGATTTCTAGCCAGGGATGATTCCAGAAGCACAGCTATAGAGATGGCAATGTTTAAAACCATTCTGTTCCTGTGACAGTGAATTGTCCATCTAGGCCTGACTAGGCAGAGTAGACATAAGGCACAAAGACAGAAACAAAGACCACAGAGAAACAAATGTGGAATATATTCAGTTGCCGGGAACTTTATGCCACTTTAAGATCCACCTGGATCCACTTAAGAAGAGTTTACTGAGCAAATCAGCAATGCAGAGTCACCCAGCTTTTTATTTGAGATAGTAAGTGGCAGAGGCAAGATCTGAACCCAAGTTTTGCATTGTGTTCTTTCCTGTGCACCATAGCATTGTACTCCTAGACACATTCAAATTTGCATTACCGAATAATTTTGTTTTTTTTTTAAATCAGGCACGGTTTATACAATATAGTTATAATGATTCCTGTTAGAACTCACAGTTATCTTCTGCAATTATGATATAAACTAGTCTTGATAAAAATGAAACTTTCTAGAGATACCAGCAAGATATGGTCACCTTTCAAAAGAAAGGCCAACATCAAAGAAGGAGGTACCTTTTTCTGAAGGGAGGAGAGAATTTCCACTTTGATTATGGCAATTTCTAAATACTGACAGAGTTTGTGCACTCAAAAGACTTCCATAACCTTGTCAGCTCATGTCAAGAGCCTCAGGTGGTCACTGGCATCATACCTAAGAGTGTCAATTGTTAAATCAACAACAGGAGTCACTGTGAACTTACTCCCCATGTTGGACCTCTGTTGTACTATGAGAATTAATGGTAAAACCTGTCTGCAAACAGTACTTTATACTTGGTGTGTCAAGTAAACTGTTGAAATCTTTACTTAGTATAGAGTTGGTCTTATATATAAAGTCAACTACACACCCCTCTTAATGACAAATCGAGTTTGACAGGTACTAAGAGTTGGGGTGTGAGTGGGGGTGGGAGGGCGGGAATGGGGGGAAAAAAACACTATATTCCTAAAAGATGTACATATGAAATTTGTATTCATTAAATAAAAACCTTAAAAAATTTTAAAAATTTTAAAAATTTAAAAAAGAAAGACCAAAAGGAAGGGTAAACAGTAATGGAATGCCTGCCAGGACATAGAAGAGGAAAGGGAGGGCCACAGGAATGGGTAACTGCAATTGAAACAAAATGTTAACTATGTAGAGTGGAGAGGAAGGGTGAATTATAAACAAAGAAGTGGCTGCATTAGAGATTCCTTGATGACTGAACGTGATGCTAAAATAACTGGTGGCTTGAAAAAAATCAATAAAATTGGCAAACCTCTAGCAAGAAGGACAGAGAAAATGAGAGAGAAGACACAGATTACCAGCATCAGGAATGAAACAGGGGCCATCACTACAGACCCTGAAGATATCCGAAGGATAATAAGGGAATACAGGCTGAATATAACTTATCTAAAATACTTGGGACCAGAAATGTCTCAGATTTCAATTTTCTTTTATATTTTATAACATTTGTTTATACACAATGAGACAGCTTGAGGATAGAACCTATGTCTAAAGATGAAATTAATTTATGTTGCATATACATATTCACATAGACTGAAGGTAATTTTATACAATATTTTTAGTGCACCAGTGTTTTGACTGTAACATATCAACTGAGGTCAGATGCAGAATTTCCCACTTGTGGTGTCATGTTGTTACTCAAAAGTTTTGATTTTTCAGATTATGGATGCTCAAACTGAATAAAATCCACAGTTAGATATGAAACAAACCAATTCTTCAAAAAACAAAAACTATCACAACTCACTCAATATGAAATAGATCATTTGAATAGCCTTATTATTAAGGAAATTTAATTTTTAAATGTAAAACTTTGGAAAAAGACTTCTCCAGGCCCACATGATTTCACTGAAAAATTACACCAATTGTTTAAAGAATCAATACCAAGTCTATACAATCTCATACAGAAAATGAAAGAGAAAGAAATCATTTCCCAACTTATTTTATGAAATCACTATATGTGGATGCCAAAACCATAAATACAAAACCAACAAAACAAAAACCCTACTGAGAAATAGTTCTCATAAATGAAAAGTAAAGAAAACCTTTTGACTTGATCAGCCCTCGCCCTGACTGTTGATGAACAATTTAATATGTTATCCCTCTTAGTATTTTTTTCTTGTTTGTTCTATTTAATACTTTTGGTTGAATACTGTAATCAATACACAATTATTCTTAAGTGCTGAAACTTAACTGAAAAGTGATCGCTGTTAAATATAAGAGTGGGAATAAGAGAGGGAAGAGATGTGTAATTTGGGACATGCTCAAGCTGACTTACCTCAAACGGTAGAGTTAGAAATATACCAGGGGATTCCAATTCAATCCCATCAAGGTGGCATGTACCAATGCCATCTCACTAGTCCCAGTGATCAATTTCTGTTCACAATTGATCATAATGATAGGAATAAGAGCCAAAGGGATCACAGAAACAAGACTAGTGCCTGCAAATACTAGCTGATAGAATAAAAAAGGGAGAGTGATCCAACATGGGAAGTGAGATACACAGCAGACTCATAGAATGGCAGATGTCCTAAACAGCACTCTGGCCTCAGAATCAGCCCTTAAGGCATGCGGATCCGGCTGAAAAGCCCATGAGAATATTTCAGGCATGGAAAGCCAAGACACTCTGGGGGAAAAAAAAAAAAAACCTAAATGAAAGATCTCCACAAGTGAGATCCCAGTGGAAAGAACTGGTCATCAAAGAAGGAGGTACCTTTCTCTGAAGGGAGGAGAGAACTTCCACTTTGACTATGACCTTGTCTAAATATGATCAGAGTCGATGAACTCAGGGGGCTTCCATAGCCTTGGCAGCTCATGACAAGAGCCTAGGGTGATTACTGATGCCATAAACAAGAGTGTCAATTTGTTAAGTCAACAACAGGAGTCACTGTGCACTTACTCCTCATGTAGGATCTCTGTCCTTAGTGTGCTGTACATGGAAATTTAATGCTATAACTAGTACTCAAACAGTATTTTTCACTTTGTGTTTCTGTGTGGGAGCAAACTGTTGAAATCTTTACTTAATGTATGCTAAACTGATCTTCTGTATATAAAGAGAATCGAAAATGAATCTTGATGTGA